GAATTGAGAGAGGGGGAAGAGGGGATAAAGAGACAGAGACAGACAGAACTGCAGAGAACAGGCAAATAAACCACCCAGATCAAGCAAGAGGGAAAGTGGGGTTGTGGGTGCTGAGGTTTGCGTGTCTGTCTCTCTCGTGCACATGCCCAAAGCTAAGCACCAGGACGACAGGCGAGGCCGTCAGGCCATGCATTGATGCTTTATCAAAGGGGCCTGAGGGAGCTTGGCCTCTTTGCTAGCTCACAGAGACACAGAAGGCACTTTCTATGAGGAACCCAGAACCAGCTGGAGCTGTGATCATGGTTTCTTGCTTTCTAAGATGCAGAGTTCTATAGCTTACAGATGTCCAGTGTGGCGTATTTCGTTATAACGGCCTCAGTGGACTGGGACACCAGGAGACGTCTGTGAAGCTGATGAGGCTTTTGCACAAGGCCTGTCCTGTCCCCCTTCCTGGAGGGAACGGTAGATTGTCCTTTTTGAGAGGGGATGCCACATTGTAAGCAGCAAGTTTATGCATAAAAGGAGTCTAGATGTCACCTGCAAACCTTAGAAAGAAGGCTGCAGTCATTTTTTTGATGACTTATTTCTTCATTATAAGTACATACCATACTAATAGTATAAATACTATTATAATATAAGATATATGTTTTCCTTCTTTTTTTTTTTTTTGACAGGGTCTCACGCAATCCAGGCCATGACCTTGAACCTATGATCTTCCTGCACCACCTCCCAAGTGCTAGATAACAGGTATGTTTCCCTGTCTGGGTTTTGTGTGGTGCCTGGGTCAAATTCAGAGGGCTTCATGCATACTAATAAACACTCTGCCTGCATTTTTTCTTTCAAAGGACTCTCTGTACTGTATAAACTTTAGGTCTCATCACAGAAAGACCTAAGAGCTAGAGGTGGACCTGAGGTCACTCACTGAACTTTCTAGAGTGTTGTTACTCATCTGGCTGGGACTTGGTTGCGTGGGTGCAGAAAACAGTTCAGCTGGGTTCTGCTTAGGACTGGATCCTTGTGTCAAAGCCAATCATGGAGCAGAGAGGTGAGGCTAAAGAAGGAAGGGGATGTCGGATGGACTACAGGAAATCAGAGCATCCATGGCCCGGGAAAGCCTGGAGAAGAGAGAAAGATGGCACAGGGTGAGAGTGGAAATAATGTGGGAGGGGTGCAGATCAAGAGAGAGGGCTGCAGTAGTGACGGAACAGTCGTGTACTTCAAGGAAAAGGTCTAGACTCAAAAGGATTCCCAACCTGGGCTTGGTGGTGCTCACTAGTCTTCCAGCCTCAAGGAGATAGAAGCAGGAAGGTCAAAAGTTCAAGGTCATCCATGGTGAAGCTAGCCTGGATTCACCTGAGCAGTTCAAGACAAAACTAAACAATCCCACCGTGCAAGGATCTGCAGTTGGCTCTCTGGGCGCCTCTACAATCTCACCATGCTAATGTTCTCTCTCTACAATCTCACCAATGTAAGGCTGCTCGCTCTCTACAATCTCACCATGCTAACCTAATGTTCTCTCTCTCTCCAATCTCACCAATGTAAGGCTGCTCGCTCTCTACAATCTCACCATGCTAATGTTCTCTCTCTCCAATCTCACCAATGTAAGGCTGCTCGCTCTCTAAAGTCTCACCATGCTAACCTAATGTTCTCTCTCTCTCCAATCTCACTGTGCTAACGCTGCTCTTGCTCACTTTGTTATGGAGTCTACTCAGTTCTCTCAAAGCTCCTGGCAGCCCGAGGACCTGTAGACCTAGAGGATCTTTTGTCTCCGCAGGCCAGGTCGCTCCTGCCTCTCCTGAGAGTTCGCTGCAAAGTCTTTAGCTGAGAGCAGTCATTCTCAACCCACCCCTCCTCTCTTGAAGGGTAAATTCTCCATTATATACCCAAAGATTTATTTATTTTTCCTCCACACCATTTATCAACTAAATTATAGACATTTGCCCGTTAATTAGCTATAATTTTTTTCTTTCCAGAGTAGATGAAGACAGGATCAAGTCTGCCCTCCCTCTATTGTATTCCAGTAGCAGACATTCTGTAAATGCTTGCTGTGTGACTAAAACCCAGCCTAATGGTGTGTAATAGCCTTTCCCAGCATGCCAACTGTTTACTCATTTATTCGGTTATTTTGATTGTTTTTGAGACAGATCTCACACTGCCTCAGCCTCCTAAACGTTGACGTTAGGATCAGGAGTGGTGGTGCACGCCTTTAATCCCAGAGCTTAGGCGGCAGAGGCGAGGGGATCTCTGAGTTCAGGGTCAGCCTGGTCTATAGAGGGAGTTCCAGGACAGCCAGGACTACACAAACGAACCCTGTCTTAAGCCCCCCCCCCAAAAAAAAGAAGCATAAGCCATCACACTAGCAGATCCTTTAATGCACGCGTACAAAATATGATTCAATCGATGATGTAAAGGTAAGAATGTAAATATTTCTATAATAATGTATAATATATGGAGGCATTTCTTATGGGCTCAAACACAAATCTAAGGCAATACTTAGTAAAATTATTTTTTATTTTATGTGTGTAGGTGTTTTGCTTACACGTATGTCTGTGTACCTTGTATGCTCTTGGTAACTATAGAGAGCCGTAGAGGGTTCAACAATGTCTGAATCCCTGGGACCATGTGGATGCTAGGAACCAAACCCAGGTCCTCAGGAAGAACAGCCAGTGCTCTTAACATCAGAGCCCTAATGCAACACTTCATATTTGTCTTCTTTTGAGATAGGGTCTCATGTTCCAGCCTAGGCTGATCTGGAACTCACAGCAATCCTCCTGTCTCTGTCTCCCAAGTGCTGGGGTTACAGGTGTAAATTGACACAGTTAAAGATTTTGCATACAGAAACGGAACAACTGAAACCTATCCGAAAGAAAAAGCTCTATTTGAAATTCCCAAAGTCAAACGTCACAAAGCAGATGACACCCTTCTGTTTGCAAAGGACACTGTGGCAAGGAGCTCACCATCCCTTTTTATACACGCGGGGATTTTTGTCTTATTACTAATCCAGCACCTATTTTCTTTCCTCTCCTCACTTCTGCCTTCTGCCTCAGTTCCTCCCTCTGTGCTGTCTCTCTCTCCCCCTGCTCTCCCTCCTCAGGTCGGAGTTTGCAGGGGTGCTGCCAGGCAGGGCTTCTAGCACTGTTTTCTCTTTACAAGCTACAACATTCCAAACCCAGACTGCTGTTTATTAGGAACCCCAAGCTTACACTTTTCACAGATGCTCGTTTATCTATTCATAATTTCACACAACCCCTCCCCCTCTTTTGAGTCGGGGTCTCTCTTTGTAGCCCTGGTCATCCCAGATAGAACCCACCTTGTAGACCAGACTGTCCGGGAACTCACAGAGAACAGGCCTGCCTCTGCCTCCCCACCACGCCCAGCTCTTCAGAACTTTTATCTGATTATCTATATTACCTACTAAAATTTGTTCCAAGGCTTTGTTCCAAATACACCCACAAATAAGAGCTCTATTACAGGACTGCGCCAAACGGCCCAGGTACAATAACTGTAAAACACACAAGAAAGTAAATAGAACTAGGATATCCAATACGATTCTGTTTCCTGTCCAACATCCTAGGGCAGGTTTTAATCAAATACAAAGCAAACTGGAAGAAACTGCCCACGAATGGAGGTAGTGTGAGATTTTAATCGTGTCTCAGAGATACTGCATGCAGCTGAACGCTCTGTTGGCGATTAAGCGATCGGACCCTGCATAGAAGGCTCCTTGGGTCAGGCCCCTAGAAGTCCTGGAGGTTTCTCTCTGCACCCGGTGTACGTACAGCATGGAGCACTCCTGGTCCAGGGGTCACAGCCCTTCAGCCTCACGCTACCGGGACCTTCTTGGCTGGGTTATTATTTTTTTTTTTTTCCTCAGACTGTCAAGTCGAGAAAACCCTCAAACTCTCGATCACAAGGGTACAGGAAAGTCCAAACTCTTAACTGACACAGGGTAGTGTCCAGATGGCAAACTCACACCGAGCTGGCGAGTGTGCCCGCCGCTCCCGCACTCGTGCCGGGGTGGCGCTGCGTTCCCGGAGACCGCCGCCTTCCCCAGCGCGCGGGCCCGGGGCGGCGGGGCGGCGAGGACCCCAGCGCGCCGCGCGGCTGACTACAGATCCCAGGGTGCCTCTGCCATCTCGCTCCCTCCCAGCGCCGGCCCCGCCTCCCTGGCCCTTGTTGTTTTGGCTGGAAGCGCTCCGGAGGAGTTTCAGAGAAAGTCTGGGCAGAAGCTAGAGGCGACCGATCGTGGGAAGGGGAGGAGGAAAGGCCAGGAGAAGGAGGGCCCGAGCCCCGGCTGCACCTCCCCGAACCCGCCGCGCGCCCCCGGGTGGGGGAGGAGCGCAGGGGACGGGACAGAGGGGGTCCCTCCCCGCAGCTGAGCCGCCCAGCGCCTCGTCCCTGCGCCGATCCCCGCCCTCGTCGGAGGCTGGAGCGCAGACCCACCCTCCCGCCGCCGGCCCGCGACCTCCCCGACGCCCGGCGACGCCCCGCGCCTCTCCGCCGGTCCTCGGGCTCCCTAGGCGGATCGGGACCAGCTCCCGTGTCCGCTGCCACCGGGACGCCGCACGCTTTCCCGGGCGCCCTCCTCGGAGGAGGGGAAAGGAGAAGATCGCGCCCTGTTCACTGAAAGCGCCAGCGGGCGGAGCGGACACCGAGCGCGGGCATTGTGTGTACGCGTGCAGCGTGGGGTCCGCAGCAGGGAGCGCTCGCGGGAGGTCCTGTCCCCGAGGGGCGGAGCGCTGGGCATCGAGCTCCGGGCTCCGGGTCCCGGCCGAGTCCCAGCCGAGCCCGACCGCTGTCGAGGCGGTCCCGCCGCGCCTGGCGGCCAGGAGGGTGCACTGAAAGAAGGCCGGCGAGCTCTGATCCCCGCTGCTCCGCTCGGGTTCCACTTCGGTCCGCGGATCTGCAGAAGAGAGAGGCTCGATAGCCGACCCAGGGCGCGCAGGACCTGACCGCCCCGTCGAGGGAAGCTGCGAGGACCTCTGGGCTGTGTGTGCCTGCCGTGTCCCGAGCGCGTCCACTGTCTCCACCGATCCCTCCGGTGCCTGGCCCTCGAGCCCTCACTGCGTGCACCATGAGCGGCGGCGAAGTGGTCTGCTCGGGATGGCTCCGCAAGTCCCCTCCGGAGAAGAAGTTGAAGCGTTATGTAAGTACAGGTCAGGGCACCGCCGGCCGCGGCAGTAGCAGCCTGCTGGCCGAGCTCTGCCACGAATCCCGCCCTCCTCTTCCTCGATCCCTCTCGGCCGGCTGGCTTCGGACCGGGTGCGGTCCTCTCGCACCCTGACGTCCAGTTGGTGGCCAAACTTTCTCCCTCCATATTGCAGACCGCCTTCCTTGAAGGCCTCGTCGCCTTAGAGGGGCCCAGGCTCAAAGCCGGCTGCAGACATACTTTCCTTGTTGTTAATTCTATTTAGCATGTGTGGGGCGACACGGGGAGAAAGAGCCTTCTCTTAAATGCATCAGGTTCACATGGAGGAGTTGTTAAATCTCCCCGCACCGAGAAGCCGGGGAGGAAGTAGTGATCATCGGTTTTCCCTTGGGTTCGCGCCCCCTCTGCGCCTCTAGGAGGTTGAGGCAAGCGAACCGTGGACGGGAGAAGTGGATGGTATAGGCGAACTTCTCTAAATACTCGCACAGGGGAAAGGGGTGGGGGAGTTATTACGCGCCCTACCATCTGCTTAGCAGGGTTCACATTTTCGCGGTTTTGCTTTGAGGGACGCTGGAGTTTGGCCCGAGAACGCTGGCGGTTTGATGCGACAGGAGGGCGCTGGGGGGAGCCTGGTGGCTGATGTTTGGGCGCCTTCGGACGCGCTGTCAAGCCCGGCGGGAGGGGACAGCTGAAGCCAGCAGGGATTTCTGGGTGTTGTGATTCTTTTCCAGGACACCAGAACGGCTTAAATGGTATTTGTGTAATTTATTCACGATGCCGATCGTGAGTTTAAAACTGTGTTCGCTGTTAGGGAAACTATCTTGAAGGAACCTACACTACTTCAGCGGAAATCTGAGGAGGCTCAGAACTCTGGAATCTTAAGCCTTCCTTCAGATCGGCTAATTTTACGATGTCCCCAGCCAGCAAAGAAATGACACTTTGTCCTGGCAGCCGAAACAAATATTTTTTCGAGTAAACTTGTTTTCCAAAAGCAAAATGTACACTGTACCTTCTTCAGTAGAGTTCACTACCGGTATTGAGGGAACCTGTTTCTGGTTGAAGGGAATCTCCACCAAGTACCCACCTCAAGCTAATCCGATTACTCACTGCCTGCTTGCCTGAAACATGGGGGGGGGGGGGCTGGAGGGGGCATTTATTTCCCAGAGCTCACCTGCAGTTTCTGGTTTACTTTCTGCTAGAATGATTCAATAAATTGTCAGAGGATTCCCTCCCCTCCCCATCTGTCACGGTTTTCCTGGATATCTTAGTAAAGATGGCAACTTGATTGCAAAACTTCGCCAGTGGCTGTGGCGTCTCCAGAATGAGTTGTAGAGAGGCAATTGTGTGTGAAAGGGGAGGGTGGGGAGCTGGAAACACTAGGCCTGAGAAGGCTCTGCTTGGGAAAGGATTCTTGGGAGAGCTAAAGTACAGTCTGTTTGCTGATAGGCTCACTAGTGCTACTGAGCTGTGATGGGCACCAGCCACAAGGGGAGGAAGTACAGAACGGGAAAAGCCTCACAGGAAGAAAATCAACAGCAAATGGTTTTAACAAGGGCCAAATGAAGTGAAAACTGGGCATGGTGGCATATGCCCGTACCACCCAGCACTCGGGAGATAGAAATGGGAGGCCAGTGCGGTCTACATAGCAAATTCTAGGGTAGCCAGGGCTATATATCAAAGACAAACAAAAACAAAATAAAGTTTATTCCCAATACAGGTATTAATAATAAATAAATAGATACAAATAAATGAAGTGTGGGAGAATATATGTGTGTGATTATGTATATTTACACGTATCATTCGTTGACCACAACAATTTTTCTCCCATTCAAGTCCCAATTAGATCAAACCCTGTTAGCTTCTGAATCAGGGAAGCGTGGTCTCATGGCCATATTCTACAGCAGTTTGCCAAACGTGGGGCTAGGCCTGGGTCATATGGTCATTTCAGACTAGACTTTTCTGTGAGTCTGTTATCTGAGAACTCAAGAAGTTCCAAGCAGAGTCACAGCACTGAAGAGTGAGACCCAGTCTTTGCTCTTACATACTTTTAAAGTTTGGGGAACAACAAAGTATATGTGGAGAAAGGCGGCCAGAATGCAAAGTGTTTATATCTGCGAGTCGGGGAGGGGGGGTTATAGATGCCTTCAGGAGAAAACTGGGTTCCTAAATTGTGTTCTCAGTAAGCAGAAGGATGTGGGGGAAGCCAAGTATGGAAAACTAGTCTCTCTCTCTCCCTCCCACCCTCCACCTTGAGGTGTTTGTGAGTGCATGTGTGTGTATGTTCACCTGTGGTATCCAGAGGTCAACTCAGATGTGCCATTCCTCAGGAGCCTTTTTCAAAGTGTCTCCCTGGGACTTCGGACTTACTTACTAGGGTCGGCTGCCAGTTAGTGAGATCCAGGAGTCCTGTGTCACCCCCCCCTCCACTATTAGCATGCCAAGATGCAGCATTGTGATTGGCCTTTACAAAAGGGCTGAGGGTTGAACTGAGTTCCTGGTGCTTCTGTGGGAGGTATTAAGTGAGCTCTCTCTCCAGATGACTGGTGAGTCTTTACACATTCGTGAAGTAGGTGAGGACGGCCCAGGATGACGGTGAACAGGTGACTGCCAAGAAGATGGCATGGCGGACTGCCAAGTGGTTTATTCCCCACAAGATTTGACATCCTCAGATTCTTGAACCTTTGACATTGGTGTCTGGCTCTGTTTCTGCAAAAGCAGTTTTGACCAGGGAGGACAGAGGCCATGTCCACATGCATTTTTCTATTCTTATTTTCTTTGGTTAACAGAATCCAGCAAAGTAGGCCAAAGACTGATTGGTAGTGGTTTTTGTTTTTCAATTTGTCTGTCTCTCTATGTGTGTGTCTGTGTGTGTTTATGGGGGTGGAATCCAAGGCCCTGAGGCCTCACACGTAATAGTAGCAAATGCTCCACAACTGAGCTGTCTTTCACCTCCTTGTTTTTTTTTTTTTTTTTTTTTTTTTTTAAGACATGATCTCACTGTGTGGCCATGGCTTGCCTGGAACCTGATATGTAGATCATGCCGGCCTCAGACTCACAGAACTCTCTCTGCTTCTCCTGCCAAGCACTGGGATGAGAGAGATGTCACCAGCCTGCCACTTCTTTTCTTAAAGTCTAGTCTTTATTTAGTGTGTGTGTGTGTGTGTGTGTGTGTGTGTGTGCGCGCGCGCATACATGCGGTGGGGGTCGGACAACAGCTTGTTTGAGTCTGTTAATCTCCTTTTCCCATGTGGGTCCTGAGTATTAAACCCAGGCTGCCCGGTTTAGGGGCAAGTGCCTTAACCCTCTGGGCCATCCTTCTGCCCGATAATAGTTTGTAATGAGGAGATTCAAGTGAAAAGCTTATCTTGGAGGCTTGTACTGTAATTATTAAATGAGACTTCTGGGAGTTTGAGCATCGTGGTTCTGCTGGGAAATGTTGCCTGTGGGAGTTTGTCTCACTGTTTGCAGTATTTGTAGAGTGGTCCAAACACTGACTGAGGTCATTGTTAAGGTCTGTAAGTGACAAAAAACAAAACAAAACAACAACAACAAAACTTTAGGGCTAGGGAGATGGCTTAGTGGGTAAATCATTGCCTCATCTTCATGATTATGAGAACTGGAGTTCTGATCCCCAGAGCTCATGTGAGGAGCAGGGAGATATGGTGACAGCCTGTCATTCCAGCTCCAGGGAGCTAGACGCAGCATACTCGGGCCAGCTGCATAGCTAGATCAGCTGGAATTAGCAAGCTCCCACATTGAAGAGAGTTCCTCCTTCGATGAATAAGGTGGAGGAGAATTGAGAAAGACATCTGATCTCATTTGTGGGCCTGCAGACATGATTCACATGCCTGCACCTGTACATACGTGTGTGCCCATACATGAACACACATGCATACCAAATGCACATGCGAAACAAAATTATATTGATTTCATCTTTAAAACCGTCTCAGAACGTGGCCCCTGACAAATTCGTCGCAGCTCCTGCTTCTGTGTTTGCTCCCTTGGTCAGTTTTCGTACTTTTTTCGCTTGCCCTATGCTCATCTGGTAGAGGAACCTCCCTTGAACTTCTCAGAGAAAGTGACATGGGATAAAGGAAGAAGACTCCCGAGTCGGAAGTTGATTCTTTAGTCAACTTCAGTTTTGATTCTTTTCAGCCTCTTCTGTGCAGAGTGGTAAGAACTTCCTGCACGTTCCATTCTCTGGCAGCTTGTGAAGTCTGTCTGCAGTGGTGCTGAGCATCCCCGGCTTTCATTCACTTTTGCTGAATGCTGTCCAGAGCTTAGTTCCCAGGGTTATAGAGAGGCGGGAACTCCAAGGTAGCGCTCAAATTTCTTATTACACTTTAAATCTGCAGGACTGGACTGTAGCTCGGCCTGGCCTACCAGACAGGAAGTCCTGTGTTTGATGTCCAGCATCTCTGAACCAGTCACACTGTCTTAAGCTGCAATCCCAGCACTTGGGAGGGGGAAGCAGGAAGAGCCAAAGTTCAAGCTTCATCTTGGCAGGGAGTGGGGAGGGTGCGGGGAGGGGAGGGGAGATGGCTTAGTGGATAAGAGCAGCCGCCACCGCCACCTATCACCTGAGTTTCATCCTTGCAAGGAGAGAATTGGCTCTTGAAAGTTGTCCTCTGACCTCAACCCAAGTTTCATCGCGCACGCGTGCATGTACAATGCGCGCACACACAACACACACTTAAACACACACACACAGCCCCAATAAAAAGTAAGATTAATAAGATTGTCCTTACTAGTAGACATGAGCCTTGCCACAGTGACGTCTTAAACAACATGTAAACGTCTTAACAGCTGTCCGAGCATTTGGGGCTACAGTGTGGTGATTTAGTACATGTGTGTAGTGGTCAGGTCAGGGTAGTTAAGGCTTCTTATCTCCCTAAACATTTTATTTTTGTGTTTGTGTTGGTAGCCATTGAATGTCTCTCCTGATAATACGTAAAAGATGCATCTTGATAGGTGTTCAGATTCATAAGGATTTGTTT